TGTAAACAGGGCCAGCTTGAATATCTGGACACAATGGTTTTGAAAGACTAAAATGGGGGCGTCCTTAAAAGAAACAGCCCCCGACTAAATATGAATCAAGCAATCCAAAGCTTTGACTCTTGATTATGACGGGAAGTCATCCAATACTATACTAACATATTTTATATGACATTATCTGAGGGCATACCATTATCCAAGAGGTACTAAATGACGGATCGTTTTTCATTTTCTGCATTTTTTCTAGAAATATTATACCCCAATGTGTTGTGATGACTAATATCTCGTTAATCACATTACCCAAATATGTGAATTTTTTTATACGGCTTTGCTAATGATTCGTACAAACTAAAATGGAAGCTTTTCAAACATTGGACATCGATAATATAGTTAGGCCGACTACCTTTTACCGACCCTCGTATATATAACTTTGATAGTAACAAATAAACCCATTTAAATTGAAAAGGAGCCCCGGGGAGACCAGAGATTCAGAACCTAAGGAAATCTAGACTTGCTTCATTTAGGGCTTTAGCACTGCAGAGAGGGCTAGGCAGTGGGGAATATAACGTGGTTCAGGGACTGTGAGACAGACTAGGGTGGAGATGGTTCGTATTTGTTAAAATACTGCCAGACAAAGATGCTTGTATCACGAGGACTGAAAACACGTTCAGTAAAACCCGTTAACCAGCATAACCTACTCAATTTACTTATTGAATAATAGTGTTGTTTTACTTAACTATTGCAATATTCTAGCAATGTAACGTTGGACAACACCAGAAATGGGGTTCCCACACTGAACCTGTGTGGAATTGAATAAGAATCTTCTGCGTGATGAGTGAACGCTTTAACCACTGGCGCACCTCACTGTTCCTCCGCCAACACTCAGTAATGTAACTCAGAAACTGTTATAACTCGTTTACTGTATTACGTCAGTTTGTCTTGTCCGCCCGTCCTACAGCTAGTTACAAAGAGTTAGTCATACATTGTAGGAAAGTCATAAGTTATGGTAGTTACGTCGGCTGCCCTTCATCAGCTGGGTCCTTGGACGAAGTAAACATCAGTTTTCTAACCTTACTCGTGGTTTTATTGTGATTGATAGTTATAGTTCATAAATCAAGAAAGTTTCAAATTATAATTTGTTATGTGTTCACTTTCTTCACAAAAATAAATATGTTCAACCTTTGGAAAAGGCCGCGAATTAAATGAGAGAAGACAGGTTTTTAAAACAAAGGCTTCTCCCATGCCCTGTGTTAGCGTAGTATGTGCAGGTAGCTGCAATGGTAGGCAGTAATACATCTTCACCCAGATTTATAAATACAGTGCTGTATTAGCTTCACCGAGAATGTATTACCTTACGTCTGCTTAACAAGTAGCCAACAACACGTATTTCACCAGTATCGCTAAGTTGTTACTGTACAGAAATGCACAACTTCTTTGTCAAACCATTGTCACAAGGCATGCCCCATCCCACGTTTCCCTCGACCGGAAGTGCTGACAGATGAGTTGACCCGAAGGCCCCATTGTATTGCCAAAGTGCCACAGTGATGAGGCTGGAGGTATTTTTACGAGCGCTTCAGTGATTTCATTGGGGTTGAGTTGGGGTAAAGAATGCTCACAACCTCGTGATTTGAAGTTCATCACCTGTCCTGTTAGGGCAGCATTTATATTCTTTCGTATTTCTCATCGCCCGACCGGCGCTTCTAATTGTATTTCCTTCCCCTTCCCCCACACACACACAACTGTTTTGGTAATTCCAACACCGCCGACTCGAACCTAAAAACGTACCGCCTGGTCATATAAAATGTTTATCTATCCCAAAATGATTTAATCAGTCGCTGCCACAAGTCCAAAGAACGAGAGAAATTACAATAAATGAGAATCAAGAACATTATTGGCATAATGTTGTTCAGAATTTGTGGCTACGTGAAACACATAAACAAATGATGCCCTTACTGGAAGAAAGTGTTCCTTAACATTGTGTACCAGTTTACTCGTAACGAGACCACAAACCAACCACCACGATCATCAGAAACACAACGTTCACCCACTGCAGTACTAAGATATGCATGTTAATGTTCGCCAAATATCACTGGTCATGCCGCCCACTTCTGAGTTGTACCCACACATAGGAGCGTATTTTTACACAAGTATTTTACCTGAGGTGAGGTGGATGTGAAATTGAAAGTCAAAGCCATCTATGGCCGACAAGTGAGTATGATTGCCGATGGTTTTGGATATAATGTCTGCTTACTGTCGAGGAAATGATTTGTAGATGTTGCAATATTTTTTTAGACCCGTGGAATGGCGCTGCCGATCGCATCTAGCCCTACATAGGTGCTGTCAACGTGGCTGGAATTAATAAACGAATTTAAAAGGTGAGTTTTCGCTGTCTTTGGGTGATCCATAATTTTGGCTTGGAATTGCTGAGGTTGCTGTTTTCGGTGAGTCGTGGCGTATAACTTTTGAAATAATGATCCGATTGTGACCATTTATAGCTCATTTTGTAGGGAAATCATCTCGCTTTTGATCCGTAGGCCTCGACGGGGCCTTAAAAATAGTTTACGTGGGGAAATCTAACTTAGATTGAGGAGGGGGTGGTTCCGTCGTTACATCCCTTTCCTTTTATATAGTACTAGGGTAGGGTCTGTATACCTATATGTCTTCCTAAAGGTGTTTCTAAGCGTGACACGACCCTGAGCATGCGTGTGTATGTGTATGTGCGGCTGCTTGTACTAGCCCAGACTTAAGCTGGTTTTATAGTGCTTGCCCACTGAGATACCACGCCGCAGTGAAGCATGAATACCCCACTCAGACACATTATACTGACTCCGAGCCGACCAGTCCTTGTACCAATTAATGCCGAGCGCCAGGCAGGGACCAACAAGTACCATATTTTAACGTCTTTTGGTATGACGCGGACGGGGATCGAACCCGCGACCTTCCGCTCTCCGGGCGGACGCTCTAACCACTACACCATGGAGGCGGTTGTATTTTACCTGATGAAATCTACTTTGATTGAGGGGTGGTTTCGTCGTTACATCCCTTTCCTTTTACATAGTAATAGGGTAGGGTCTATATACCTATGTCTTTCTAACGCTGTTTCTAAGCGAGACACGCCCCGATGTTCACACATACACATACAGTAGCAACAGTAGCAGGCGAAATATGTGATGGTGAAATATTTTGTGTTGTTTCGATTCCACATAACATAATTTTTCATCAAAATACTGTTATGTGCACGAGGTGTAATGAAACTATTAGCGTATTGATACGGTGCATATATCATTGGAGTATGTGCATAACTCGACTTGCAAACGATAATATAGAATAGACTGAGTCATGACGTCAGAAAATGAACAGTTAGGATAAAGAGTTGCACAGAAACCAAGATGAGTGAGTGAGCTTAGTTTTACGCCGCACTCAGCTATATGGAGGCGGTCTGTAAACAATCGAGTCTGGACCAGACAATCCAGTGATCAACAGCATGAGCATCGATCTGCGCAATTGGGAACCGATGACATGTGTCAACCAAGTCAGCGAACCTGACCACCCGACCCCGTTACGACCTCTTACGACAAGCATGGGTTACTGAAGAGCAATTCTAACCCGGATCTTCACGGGTGGAAACCAAGATGACAGGGACATGTGCGTTGTTATGCATTACTATTTAGCATCAATATATCTCATAAATTGTTAGTGGAAGAAAAATGAGGCTCTTTTATAATGAAATCTGATTATAATTTAGGGCAATGTCAACAAAAGTTTGATCACATTCCTGGTTCAAGAAGATATATTGGACGATGAGGTTTTGGCCCTCATTGAAGGAAAATGGCTGACGTTTTGGCTCCAAATAAATTAGAATTAGAAAGAGAAACATTGGATATGGAACAATACATTCAGATGTGACAATTGGAAATTGAAGCCGAGAAAGAAAATAGGAGATCAGAAGCTTTTGCTAAATAAAATGAGACTGGAAGCTGAAAAAAAGAAAAGAGAAGAGAGAAAATTTCGGATTCAAATAAAACCATTCGTGACCAACCCGTGTTATTCCGGGACAAGCCGAATAGCGATTCGTGCCCCTCTCGAAGGATTTCATATTGGTGCATGAACATCATCCTGGTTCCCGGGCCTCTCATTAGTTATGTAGAGGCCCTAGTATTGGCCACGTAATGGCGGCGCTCACTGGAGAGATCCAAGATGGCGGACGAGGTAAGTTTGCTATGGAACTGACCGATTTCTAATACTTCTAGCTGCGACATTCACACGACACTCGGCTCAATAATGATGAATGAAATTAGTATCAGAATCCCGGCAGCAAATAATTTTAGACTGTGCCAAAAGGATTCGATCGAGAACTGGTCATTCAGGTGATAAATCTGTGACAATTTGTGTCATATATACATTTGCCAGTAGATAAATGTTTGCTTACAAGGTTTTGTATTTACATCTGCAGTCCACTCCTTTTCCTAAATTGGTGTGCCAGTTACTTAGCCAAATGCTTCCTCTTACAAGATTAACTCACTCCAAAATGCATGTAACTAAATTACTTATTAACTATCAGACTGTTCACATGGTACATAGCATACATCTTTTAAGTGGAAGCATTTGGCTAAATAATGACCAGTTCTCGATCGAATCCTTTTGTACCGAAGTCTGCAAGATTCTCCTGTAATATATTATATATTTGTATTTCAGGGGCGGATACAGCTTTGGAGAAAGGGGGGTGGGGAAGGGGTGCACACTCTTGAGAAAGGGAGGGTGCACACTTCATTTCCGCCCGTTTTCACGGGTCATTAAATAACCTTTCACTGGTTACTGATATTTTACATTAGACTGAATATTATAGTATACTAACTTGCCTGAACGTGAAGTTGACAGTTTTTTCTCTGAGTGTTTTGGCAGTGATTCCAAGACATGTTGCTGTGCACCAAGAGCTAGCTGCTTGTTCTCTGATAAAGGTATTTTCCTCTTCTGTCCATTTTCTTCTTGTGTTTTTCAGGTTGATCAGTTACTGTTTGCTGTGTCAGTGATCCCAGCTAGAAAAATAGGGACGTTATCAAAAAAGGGCCCAATATGAAATACACAGTGTTGAGAAAACAATTTTCAAATTATGAATATACAAAAATGTTAGTGAGAACTATATAACAAAATAGTGTAAGTTAAATACATATGTATACAATCTGTATACCCTTGGGAATGGATTAGTATACTACATTTTTACTTACAGCCAGTCTCTTTTCATTTGAATTAGGTGTACGCCCTGTTGGCAATGACCGAATTCTCTTTTTGTAAATAGAAACAGCATAGCTATGCCAAAGATGAAATGATGGCATTCTGTTTTCATTTTCTTGGTGCTTCCTGTCAGCATCTTTGGCGTAGCTATGAAGGCTGAGACTTTTCTGAAAAAACGGTCTTCATAAATGAAAGTTAAATAAATTAATTAATTAATTAAAACTTCCAGTTCTGAAATGACAACATTACAAAATTTATTATCTACGCACATATGTTGAAATAAACAGTATAACAAGGTAAGAAAATTCCAGGTTTTGAACTGAAATAACTTTGAACAAAAATTATACCTAGTGCTACTACTGGGGTATCAGGTAGGGACAGCGCACGTTTGGCAAAGATTAGAGACGGTTGTTTCTATTTTCTGCAGTTGAAAACGCGACTCAACAATGCCAAAAGGTGAAATGAGGTATATATGGATTATTGATAAATATTTTGATATTCATCCCGTCATCGTTTTTTTTTTACACATGTAATGTGAGGCCCTAAAACGTGAAAGTTGTGTTTACATTTGCGAGTGGGCGGGGCTTACGCTTCGGGAAAACATGGTTATTGGGACAAACTTCTTTGTTCTATAAATTATTTGCTGCCGAGATTCACGTACTAATTTCATTCTACTTTATTGAGCCGAGTGTCGTGTGAATGTCGCAGCTAAAAGTATTAGAAATCGGTCAGTTCCATAGTAAACTTACCTCGTCCGCCATCTTAGATCGCTCCAGTAATACCAGGGCCTCTATATAACTGAGAGACCCGGGAACCAGGATGCATGAACATCAGAACTACTTTAAAGAAGAGCGATAACTCTATCCCAGTTTGATTCCAATGTTTCTTAATATCACCGAAGCACTCGTACAATGTATCGCTGTTTCTATTTTTACTTAATATTTATTTTAAAGAATTAAACCTCTTTGATACAACTAAAAGAAGGAGAAAACTTATTTGGTAAAGACAAATTCTATGTAATTATTATCAGCTGTTCAACTTATTGTTCCAATTATATTTCTGAATAGGGTTTGATAATCACAAACGGCAATTGTTTATTGAATATGCAAATAAAGTTTTTAAAAATGTAGTTACATTAAATCCCAAAGCAGATATTCAAGAATGACTTTATAAAATATTTCTAAACTGAATACTCGTGTAACCTTGCTGTCATACCCCTGGTGGAATTATAAATGAAGTCAAGCTATCTTTTCAGCTTTGACCTATATTAAACAGCAGAATCATTCCAAAAACTTCATCGTTTTCACAGATTCATTATCTTGCCTTCAAGCACTTCAAAATGTTACTTCAAGTCACCCAATCATTCTGGACATTTTGGAACTTTACAACGACCTCTCTACTGGCCAATGTGACATCGTCCTCTGCTGGTTGCCGGGTCACGTCGGCATAGCAGGTAACACAAAAGCCGATGCTGCAGCAAAAGCAGCTCTTGACAAGCCCTTATCTCCACTGCTGATCCCGTACAGCGATTTCAAACCCACTATCAAAAGCTATACTCGGGACCTCATGCAAAAACGATGGGACACTCAAGTAGGAAGAAATAAACTGTATGAGTTGAAACCAACAATTGGTTATACCTACTTGGGTTGTCAGTCAAGACGTGATGAGGTAATTTTACGACGATGTCGTATTGGCCACAGTCGATTTACTCATGACTATCTGCTGAAAACGGATGGGGATGGACCCCCCATGTGTGTCTCTTGCGATGAGGTTTTCACCATCAAGCATATTCTGCTTGAATGCGTGGACTTATCGTCTGCAAGGGACTCACATTATGATGCAACAAACCTAAAAGATCTGTTCTCCCGCGTGAGCGCTCATCTGATAGTGAACTACCTGAGGGAAGTTGATCTGTACCATAAATTGTAACCGTGAAATGTAACTATCATAAATTGTAACTGTGAAATGTGACTAACAAATTGCCTGCCTTTAAATGTGATATGTTTTTTAAATAAAACTCATTCCGAGTATGTTCTTACAGTGTTTATTAATGCAAACTTGTTCTCGTCACTATATGGCTGGAATAATGCCGATGTGACGCAAAACCCAACTCAACTCAACTCAATAAATGAAGTCGTTGAAAAAATATGAATGACCAAAAAAAGGTCAGACTAAAATGTGCCCAGAGATGTGAAATATAAGCCCAATGTTAAAGATTAAAGTTGATACAGATACATACAGATATAATATTATTGTTTTGAAACTCGTAGCGATATATAAAGCATTTCCTAAAAATGTTGGAAGCGCACGTACAATCTCCAAACCAAGTCCGCAAAATCGTCAGAAATACACTCCATTGGACCCATGAGAGCCGTTATGTCAGCAAACGCACGTGCGTGTATTTTAATCTCTCACCGTCCATGGCATTATCCTTACTATAATCTACGTGAGGCAACAGAGTTCTGTTAGCTATGTTCTTTATGCTTTCACTATGACGATATATATTTTTCATGATTTTTTAAAATAAACACATGATGCCATAACCGATCTTAGTACTGGGTATTATTTTTATCAAAGCACGGCAATCATTACGCTCATTCTGATTGGTTTGTCGTATTTGCGCACATAACAAGCATCGAGACGGGGACGAGTCTTCTTGGAGATTACGGAAAGGGGCGAGTCGTGACGAATGACGAGGACGAATGAAACAACTGGAAGTACAAGTCATCTCTCAAAGTACCTCATCAGGCGACAGATTAGACTTGCTCCGCCTTTCTCTGAACATGTTGCTGGGACTTTTTCATGCATTTCGAAAAGGTGGCTAGTTATTTGAAATGGCGTGAGAATCAATGGACCATGTTGTTGTATTTAGGGGAAAGGCTCAGGAAGTTTATTCTGCCTTATCTATTGATAGGAGTCCTGATGATCAGATTGTTATGGCTGCAGTTTTGAAGACTTGTGAATTGGTTCCTAAACCTTACAAGCAAAACATAATGTCTGCTGAGAACAGGGATGGTAGTACTTTGTTGAGTTTGCTTGGGAGAGGGGAACTTTGTTTGAAAGGTGGTGGAAAGTTTGATTTGTCGGATTTGCTTGACGAATTTAAGCAACGTGTCTCAGGAGACACGCAGAAAGTTCATCTTTCCACCAGGCTGCTACTTTGGCTGATGACTATTCGCATGGTGACAGCTAGGAGTTTTCAGGTAGGACTTCACAGGGTTACAGCTAGGAGTTTTCAAGGAGTTTTCAGGTAGGACTTCACAGGGTTACAGCAGGGGTTTTCAGGTAGGACTTCACGGGGTTACAGCTAGGAGTTTTCAGGTAGGACTTCACAGGGTTACAGCAGGGGTTTTCAGGTAGGACTTCACGGGGTTACAGCTAGGGTTTTCAGGTAGGACTTCACAGGGTTACAGCTAGAGTTTTTCAGGTAGGACTTCACAGGGTTACAGCAGGGGTTTTCAGGCAGGACTCTCACAGGGTTACAGCTAGGGAGTTTTCAGGTAGGGGCTTCACAGGGTTACAGCAGGGGTTTTCAGGTAGGACTTCACGGGGTTACAGCTAGGGTTTTCAGGTAGGACTTCACAGGGTTACAGCTAGAGGTTTTCAGGTAGGACTTCACAGGGTTACAGCTAGGGTTTCAGGTAGGACTTCACAGGGTTACAGCAGGGGTTTTCATGTAGGACTTCACAAGGTTACAGCTAGGAGTTTTCAGGTAGGACTTCACAGGGTTACAGCAGGGGTTTTCAGGTAGGACTTCACAGGGTTACAGCTAGGAGTTTTCAGGTAGGATTTCACAGTGTTACAGCAGGGGTTTTCAGGTAGGACTTCACAGGGTTATAGTTGAGTGGGTTAAATTGGGTGAGCTCAAATCTTACGTCACAAGGGCAATATTTGAGCCATTTCGTGACGAGAAATTGAATATAAATACTAAATATAGTAAGAATAAGAGTGAGTGAGTTTAGTTTTACGCCGCACTCAGCAATATTCCAGTGGTCTGTAAATAATCGAGTCTGCGGGACCAGACAATCCAGTGATAACAGCATAAGCATCGATCTGCGGAACTGGGAACCGACGACATGTGTCAACCAAGTTAGCGAGCCTGACCACCCGATCCCGTCAGTCGCCTCTTACGACAAGCATAGGTTACTGAAGATTCAATCTAACCCGGACCTTCACGGGTCAGTAAGATTAAGAAACCTGACATCGATGGACAGTATAATAACTAGACTATCACAAATATAAATTAAAACTAGTTGATAGCATTGCTCATTCAAGCAATTTAAAGTCTGGTTCTTAGTTTATAGACAAACATGCTACTCCAGCTGGCTCTAAAGAAACTTTTGGAATTTCTGTCAGGGCCTTCTTGTAGATATTGCCGTAAACCAGGGCATATCATTCGCAGCCTTGTTGTGTTTCGGCTAATGGGAATTAGCTTCTGTAGACCAGTCAGAAAAGATTGTTGTTGTGGGAGTGGAGTACCGACCTTACGTTTGTAAAGATTGTGTGTCAGGTCAAAGGTGGCAGTCCCACTGTCATGCCCATTACCATTTTTAGGGATACTGGTTCTCTTCAATTTATGATTTTGTGTGGTATTTTGCCACTTTCTGAGGAGTCATCAGCCTACTTTGAAATTTTGCTAGATGCTTTATGTAGTTTTACCAGAGCGCCTCTCCATTTTGTGAATTTGAAGACTTGGTGTCTGTATTGGGTGTAGAAGGGAGAGATCAAGAACTCAAAGCTCTTGCCATTAGGGCACGTTCTTTACAAATACCGGACACTGTTCCAGTTTGCTATTACTTCAAGGCGAGTTTTGATGAGGAAATGGAGGCTGCCTGATATACTTGCTGATAATGAATGGAGGGGTTTTCATCCAATTGCTCTTCCAATTCCTATCAAAAACATTTTTTGAGTTTGGAACATAAAACTCCTTTGGCATATCATTTGGGTCTGAACAAAATTTGTGAAAGATAGGTCAGATAATCAGTACATGCGTACTTTCATGTGCGTTTCCAGAAAGTTTCCAGGGACTATTACTTTACGGGGAAGTATGGCTCAGGGCATTATCAAAGCTACGTATGGTTTGCCTAAGACTATTCAGTCAGACCAAGACTCCAAGTTCATGTCAAGTGTATGTCAGGCTATGCAGTTAGGCATAACTCATGTTAAGTCTGTTGCATAACATCCTGAATCTCAATAAGCTCTAGAAATGTTCAATCCGACATTCCCATCAGTATCTCAGTCTGATACATTATCTACAGGATCACCAGTGGCAGCACACCGAGTAGGTACAGTGTCATGACACTTTCTAATCACATCAAAATGACAACACACACAGTGGTGTTAGGGTTTGTAATATTTGGCCAGTTCGACCCGTCCAGACATTTTGAGCATAGAGACGTGTTCCATGGAAAGCAGACAAACAGACTTCTCTGCATTAAATTCCATTATGAACTGATGAAGATGTTCCAGCCTGATACCTTGAGTGTCACCTCTACTGCAGATAGCCTTTCGGAGTGCTTTGATGACGTCAAGGACTGGATGTCCAACAAGTTGAAATTGAACGACTCTAAAACTGAATGTTTGCTGATTGGACCCAAAGCAAAACTGAAACATACGAACTTGAACTCTCTCACGATTCCCTTATCAGAATCCGTCAGAGGTCTTGGGGTCATCATCGATCCAGAGCTTCGGCTTGAAGGGCACGTCAACCATCTTGTCAAAACGTCATCCTTTCAGCTCCAGAACATTGGGAGCGTCAGAAATATCTGACAGTAGACGCCAACAA